CTGGGGGACACAGACTTGTTCCCTGTCAGGGACATCCAAAGTGGGCAGTTTTGGGGAAGTCCATGGGACTTGGGGGGCCCAAGAGGGAACCTAACCTGGTCTGGGAGTCAGGAAAGACTTCCTAGAGGAGGGGATAGCTAAGCTGAGTCCTAGAGGATAGAGGGTAGAAAAGGGACTAGAAAAAGGCTGAGTCTAATGAAATAGGGAGTCTGAAGAGCTGTTAAGTGGAAAGAGAGCTTGATACATTGAGGGAGTTGGAGGTTCACCATGGCTAGGACAAAAGGTGTGAAGAGAGGGGTTAGCAGGGACCAGATTCTGCATGCTAAAATCCCAGACTAAGAGTTTAGATCTTCTCTTGAGGGCACTGGGGAGCTATGGCAAGTTATGAGTCCTAGAAGGTCAGGGACAGCCAGTTAATCTTTGGAAAAGGAGGCAAGAATATACAACGCAGAAAGGACAGTCTCCTGAGCAAGTGTTGTTGGGAGAGCTGGACAGCTGCCTGTAAATCAGTGATGTCAGACACACACTTGCACCATACACAAAAATAAAATCAAAGTGGCTTAAAGACTTAAACATAAGACAAGACACCATAAGCCTCCTAGAAGAAAACATAGGCAAAAGATTCTCTGACAAATCATAGCAATGTTCTCCTAGGGCAGTCTACCCAGGCAATAGAAATAAGAGCAAAAATAAATAAATGGGACCTAATTAAACTTATAAGCTTTGGCACAGCAAAGGAAACCATAAGCAAAACAAAATGACAACCGAAAGAATGGAATAAAATATTTGCAAAAATGATGCGACTGATAAAGGTTTAATTTCCGGAATATATAAACAGCTCATACACCTTAGTAACAAAAAAACCAGTCTAATCCAAAAATGGGCAGAAGACCTAAACAGACATTTCTCCAGTGAAGACATACAAATGGCCAAGAGGCACATGAAAAAATGCTCAGTATCACTAATTATCAGAGAAATGCAAATCAAAACTACAATGAGGTATCACCTCACACCAGCCAGAATGGCCATCATGAAAAAGTTCACAAACAATAAATGCTGGAGAGGGTGTGGAGAAAAGGGAACCCTCTATACTGTTGGTGGGAATGTAGTTTGGTGCAGCCATTATGGAAAACAGTACAGAGATTCCTGAAAAAATTGAAAGTAGACTTACTATATGATCCAGCAATTCCAATCCTGGGTATATATCCAAAGGAAGCTCTAATTCAAAAAGATACATGCACCTCAATGTTCATAGCAGCCACAATTACAATAGGCAAGACATGGAAGCAACCTAAATGTCCATCGACAGATGACTGAATAAAGAGATGTGGTGTATATATACAATGGAATACTACTCAGCCATAAAAAATAAAATAATGCCATTTGCAGCAACATGGGATTGATCTGGAGATCATCATACTAAGTGAAGTAAGCCAGAGAAAGGAAAACACCATGTGATATCACTTATATGTGGAATCTAAAAAAAAGGACACAAATGAACTTATTTACAAAACAGAAAGAGACAGATTTAAAAAACAAACTTATGGTTACTGGGGGGAAGGGGGTGGGAAGGGATAAAGTGGGAGTTCGGGATTTGCAGATACTAACTATACAAAATAGATAAACAACAGTGTTCTATTGTATAGCACAAGGAAATATATTCAATATCTTGTATGAAACCTACAATGAAAAAGAATATGAAAAGGAATATATGTATGTATATGTATGACTGAAACATGATGCCATATAGCAGAAATTGGCACGACATTGTAAACTGACTAGATAGACTTCAACAAAAAAAAATTTTTTTTAAAAAGAAAGGAACGGGTGTGTGCTGTAGGAAGACTCCTCTAGCTGCCAAGTTGAGAGTAGCTGGGACAGAAAAGGGCAAGGATAAGGCGGAAGACCAGGGAGGAGGCTGAGGTGAGGAAACTGAGGTGTGAGGGGGAGCCAGGAACAGGACCAGGGCTGTGGGACAGAGAGGAGGGGAAGGGTTCAAAAGACATTTAGACCACCTTAAAGAATTAGAAAAAGAGGAACAAACAAAACCTAAAGTCAGCAGAAGGAAAGAAATGATAAAGATCAGGGAGGAAATAAATAAAAGGGAAATTTTAAAAAATAGAAAAAAATCAATAAAACCAAGAGCTGGCTTTTTGAAAGAGTAAATGAAATCGACAAACCTCTGGCTATATGCTAGGCATTTCCAACAATATTTTTGTTGAAACACTTTCTGGGTTTTATTTATGTTATTTGCAAATGTATGTTTCTGGATGGGGTTTGGATTTCTGCTGAAGTTTATTTTATCCGTGATGTATTTTTTAAAAATTATTTTCATACAGAGGAAAGTCTTCTATTTATTTTTGAAGTATTTCAGTGAAAACTTCGTGTAGGTCTGAAGCCATCTTTTGAAATGTATTTTCTTCATTGCCGGTTCACTGAGTCATCCCATGAAAGCTTTCTTTTGCTTCCTACAAATACATGCTTATCCCCTAAGGGATGCCTTTTAGTCATTGTGGACACGTTATTTAGTAAGTGAATGTCTCTGTTTTCTGTCTTACAAAAAACTTGTCTGTGTGCCCTTTCGTACTGACTTTTGTGTAGGATGAGAGTCCTTGGGTCACTGTGCAGTGGTCTGAAGAATTGTTCCCCCCCAACCCCAAGCAAGCCCTGTTGCTGTGTATGAGCGGCTGAGCTCTTTTTGTAAAATAACCTAAACCTGTTATTTCCATGCTGTCAAATTAGTCAGAGATTCAGGGTCCTTAAAACACACACACACACAACTCTGGCTGTGCTCACCAAAAATAAAAGAGAGAGGACCCAAATAAACAAGATAAGAAATGAAAGGGGAGAAATTACAACCAATACCACAGAAATACAAAAAAAACATAAAAGAGTACTACGAAAAATTATATGCCAACAAACTGGACAACCTAGAAGAAATGGACAGGTTTCTAGAAACATACAGTCCACCAAAACAGAATCAAGAAGAAACAGATAGGGAGTGGGAAGGGATAAACTGGGATTTCAAAATGTAGAATAGATAAACAAGATTATACTATATAGCACAGGGAAATATATACACGATCTTACGGTAGCTCAGAGAGAAAAAAATGTGACAATGAATATATATATGTTCATGTATAACTGAAAAATTGTGCTCTACACTGGAATTTGACACAACATTGTAAAATGATTATAAATCAATAAAAAATGTTAAAAAAAACAAAGAGAAATAGGGAAAAAAAGGGAAGAAACAGATAATTTGAACAGACTGATCACAAGAAGTGAAATAGAATCTGTGAACAAAACAAAAAAATGAAACAAAACAAAACCTCCTTGCAAAAAAAAAAAGTCCAGGATTGGATGGCTTCTCTGGGGAATTCTACCAAACATACAAAGAAGACTTTATAATAATTCTTCTCAAATTCTTCCAAAAGATTGAAGAGGAGGGAATACTCCTAAATTCATTCTATGAAGCCACCATTACCCTGATACCAAAACCAGACTATCAAAAAAGAAAATTACAGACAAATATCTTCGATGAACATAGATGCAAAAATGCTCAACAAAATATTAGCAAGCCAAATCCAACAACACATTAAAAAAGATCATACACTATGATCAAGTTGGATTCATCCCAGTGTCACAAATAGGGTTCAACCCATGCAAATCAATCAATGTGATACATCACATCAATAAAAGGAATGACCAAAACCTTCTTTTGATGATCATCTCAATAGACGCAGAAAAGGCATTGGATAATATTCAGTATCAATTCGTGATTAAAAAAAAAACTCTTACCAAAGTGGATATGGAGGGAACATATAGCAACATAATAAAAGCTGTTTATGACACACAGCCAACATAATACTCAATAGTGAAAAGTTGAAAGCCTTCCCGCTAAAATCTGAAACAAGACAAGGATGCCACTCTCCCCACTTCAATTCAACATAATATTGGAAGTCCTAGCCATAGCAATCAGAAAAGAAAAAGAAATAAAAGGGATCCAGATTGGAAGGGAAGAAGTAAAGTTGTCACTATATGCAGATGTTATACTATATACAGAAAACCCTAAAGATTCCACATAAAAACTACGAGAGCTGATGAACGAATTCAGCAAGGTAGCAGGTTACAAGATTAACATACATAAATGCATTGTATTTCTTTACACTAACAATGAAATATCAGAAAAGGAAAGAAAACAATCCCTTTTTAAATTGCATCAGAAAAATACTTAGCAATAAACTCGACTAAGGAGGTGAAAGACTTATATACCGAGAACTATAAAACACTGATAAAGGAAATTAAAGATGAGTTAAAGAAATAAAAAGATATCCCATGCTCTTAGATTGGAATAATATTGTTAAAATGGCCCTACAACCCAAAGTAATCTACAGATTTAAAGTAATCCCTATCAAAATACCCAGGACATTTTTCACAGAACTAGAATAACCCTAAAATTTATATGGAATCATAAAAGACTCAGAATTGCCAAAGCAATACTGAAGAAAAAAGAATGAAGCTGGAAGCATAATCCTCCCAGACTTCAGACAATACTACAGAGCTACAGTAATCAAAACGGCATGGCATTGGCACAAAAACAGACATATGGATCAATGGAACAGAAACAGAGCCCAGAAATAAACCCACACACTTACAGTCAATTAATCTTTGACCAAGGAGGCAAGAATATACAATGGAGAAAAGACAGTCTCTAAGGCAACTGGTATTGAGAAAGCTGGACAGCTTCATGTAAATCAACGAAGTTAGAACACTCCCTCATAACATACACAAAACCCCAAAAGGCTTAAAGACTTAAACATAAGACAAGAAACCACAAATCTCCTAGAAGAGAACATAGGCAAAACATTATCTGACATAAATTGTAGCAATGTTCTCCTAGGTCTGTCTCCCAAGCAATAGAAATAAAAGCAAAAATAAACAAACGGGACCTAGTTAAACTTATAAGCTTTTGCACAGCAAAGAAAACTATAAACAAAATGAAAAGACAACCTATGGACTGGGAGAAAATATTGGTAAACAATGAGACTGACAAGGGCTTAACTTCCAGAATATACAAACAACTCATACAACTCAGTACCAGCAACAATAACAGCAAAAAAACCAATCCAAAAATGGGCAGAAGACCTAAACAGACATTTCTCCAATGAAGACATACAAATGGCCAAGAGGCACATGAAAAAATGCTCAATATTGCTAATTATCAAAGAAATGCAAATCAAAACTACAATGAGGGAAAAAAATGACAATGAGGTATCATCTTACACCAGTCAGAATGGCCATCATTAAAAAGTTCACAAATGATAAATACTGGAGAGGGTGTGGAGAAAAGGGAACCCTCCTACACTGTTGGTGGCAATGTAATTTGGTCCAGCCATTATGAAAAGCAGTATTGAGATTCCTGAAAAAACTGAAAGTAGATTTTCTATATGATCCAGCAATCTCATTCCTGTTCATATATCTGGAGAAAACTCCAATTCAGAGAGATACATGCACCCCAGTGTTCATAGCAGCACTATTTACAATAGCCAAGACATGGAAACAGCCTAAATGTCCATCAACAGATGACTGGATAAAGAAGATGTGATATATTTATACAATGGAATACTACTCAGCCATAAAAACCGACAACATAACGCCATTTGCAGCAACATGGATGTCCCTGGAGGATGTCATTCTAAGTGAAGTAAGCCAGAAAGAGAAAGAAAAATACCATATGAGATCGCTCATATGTGGAATCTAAAAAAAAAAAGCATAAATACAAAACAGAAATAGACTCACAGACATAGAACACAAACTTGTTGTTGCCAAGGGGGTGGGGGGTGGGAACAGATAGACTGAGATTTCAAAATTGTAGAATAGATAAACAAGATTATACTGTATAGCACAGGGAAATATATACAAGATCTTATGGTAGCTCACAGAGAAAAAAATGTGACAATGAATATATATATGTTCATGTATAACTGAAAAATTGTGCTCTACACTGGAATTTGACCCAACATTGTAAAATGATTATAAATCAATAAAAAGTGTTAAAAAAAAGAGTTGTGGTATATATATAATGGCATACTACTCAGCCATAAAAAAGAATAAAATAAAGCCATTTGCAGCAACATGGGATTGATCTGGAAATCATCACACTAAGTGAAGTAAGCCAGACAGAGAAAGAAAAATACCATATGATATCACTCATATGTAGAACCTAAAAAAAGGATACAAATGAATTTATTTACAAAACAGAAGGAGACTCACAGACATAGAAAACAAATGTATGGTTACCAGGGGGGAAGGTAAGGAAGGGATAAAGTGGGATTCTGGGATTTGCATATACTAGCTACTATATATAAAATAGCTTATCTACAAGGTCCTACTGTCTAGCACAGAGAACTATATTCAATACCTTGTAATAGCCTATAATGAAAAAGGATATGAAAAGGAATACATATACACACATATATGTGTAACTGAATCACTATGCTGTGTACCAGAAATTAACACAACATTGTAAACTGACTATACTGCAATAAAAAAAATTAAAATGGAAAAAAACAATGAAATACTACTCAGTTATAAAAAAAGAATAAAATAATACCATTTGCAGCAACCTAGGTGGAACTGGAGATTATCGTACTAAGTGAAGTAAGTCAGAGAAAGACAAATATCATATGATATCTCTTGTATGTGTCATCTACAAAAATGACACAAATGAACTTATTTACAAAACAGAAAGAGACTCACAGACTTAGAAAACAAACTTATGGTAACCAGGGGGGAAGGAGGGTGGGAAGGGGTAAATTGGGAGTTTGGGATTAGCAAATACACACTGCTATATATAAAATAAATAGACAACAATGTCCTACTGTATAGCACAGGGAACTATATTCAATATCTTGTAGTAACCTATAATGAAAAGGAACATGAAAATTTATATATATATATTAAATATTTATAAAAATATATATATGTGAATCTCTATGCTTTACACCAGAAACTAATACATCGTAAATCACCTATACTTCAATTTAAAAAAAAGGACATTTAGAAGGCAGGACAGGCAGAACTTCGTGAGTAGCTGGCTTGGTAACGACAGCACAGGGCAGTGGTAAATAGCATAAGCCAGAGGTCTGACAGCCGAGCGGCTGAAGCGTACCAAAGCTGGGTGACCTTGGAGAAGAGACTTCACCTTTCTGAACCCGTTTCCTCAGCTGCAGAATGGGACTAAGGAAAGCAGTGAGCTCCTACCTGGTAGCGCTGAGCACAGAGTAAAGGTGCAGTTATCACCATCCTCATCGCTGTTATTGGGCCAGACTGATTCTTCGCCTGGAATATTCTCCCCTTCTGCTGGCTTATCCACGCTCATCCTTCAGGTGCAAGCTCAAGTGTTGCTGACACCCTACCTGAACTCAGTTTTCCTTATAAGATGTCCTCATAGGTTTTGTACCTGCTTTCCCAGTAGTTATCACTTTTGTAGTGGTTAATTAAATGTGTAATTAGTGGTGGTTTAATGTTTGTCTCCTTCACTGGGCTGGGAGAACCACGAGGCCAGAGTCAAGGTTTTATCGTCACGACTCTACCCCCAACGCAGCTCGGTGTCGGGCTGGGCACCCAGCAACCACTGAGCAGATGCTGGTTGAATGAGTAAATGAATGAGTGATCAAATGAATATTTAACTGATTAATAAGTGCATGCGTGGTTAAGTACACGAGTGAATAAATGACTGAATAAGTGAGTAAGCAAACGAAGAGGAGGAATCCAGGATCACTCTCAAGCTGTAAATATCCTAGAACTGAGAGTGTAGATGAGTTGTTCTTCGTCTTTTGGAGTTCTTCGATATTGCCGGGGGGAAAATTGTAACCACAGGAAGAGATACGCGTGGCGTAGGATAAATTGTGATGCAGAGGAGTACGGCGATATCTCTAGGGTACGGGTCCGAGGTCCTTCGGGATAAACGGCATTCTAATAATCAAGTTTGGAGAAAAGGGAAGCCCTGCACGCCCGAAAGGTGGAATTGAACCACTCTGTCGCTAGACAGCTACAGGTTTGAAGCCTGCACCCCAGACCACTGAGGATCATCCGGGCAGGAGAACACGGCCCCTCTACAGCTATATAAAAGCCAAAAATTCTATCTTTTTATAGTCATGGCTGCATAATTTGGTGGGATATAAGACTGTCGAAATCAATATATATAAATCCTCTCTAGCTATTTATTACGGAGTATGTCTTTCAAATGTTGTCTTTGCCTTATATTGATTGAATCATTGTCAATTTGGAAACCGCCTCATTTGCATAGCGCCTCGTATTCTGGGAAACGGCGCGCCAGAGCAGCGCCCTAGCTTCTAGCTCTTAAAGAGTTAGGAGCCACCTTTTCCAAGCGAGAAGCCAATGTTTTTAACAGAAGAGACTCATACTTCGGCATTCAGAAGCCCCTTTCTTGAAAAATCCGGATTCGAGTGAGTAGGTGCCTGCTAGAGTCTGACTTAGCCCAGCCCCGTAGGCTCCGGGCTGGCTGTTATAGGGCTGGTGCGACACCTGCTGCTCTTTTGTGGGAACTTCAGCTACCTACGGAGCCCTATGTTCAAGCAAAAGTTCAGTGAGCACCTATTGAATCCCAGGCACTGCCATAGCTACTGTCAATGGATGATAGGATTTCTGTCCCCATTGATCTTAGACACTAGAGATCATCGATTTTTGCACCTGAATTTTATACTGAGGAAAGTGAGGCGTAGGAACGGAGAGTACTGTACCCTAGTTTACACAGCCCATCCACTTGGGAGACTCATTCCTGTGTCATAATTATTATTACAAAAAAAGGTGATCCTTTCATAACCCAAGCAAGTGACCCTTTGATGACAATATCATTCCCCGGAAATCTCCCATGGCTCCATCTCAGAGTCAAAATTCTCACGACAGCCTTACAGTCCCTATGATCTAGTCCCTTTCACTCCTCTGACCCTATCTCCTACTCCTCTCTCCTCATATACTTGGCTTCAGGCAGATAGATTTCTTCCTGCACACACTAGGCATGCTCCCTTTTCGAGGCCATGGCGTTTATTCTTCCCCGTGCCTGAATTTCATTTCATCTACATGTTTACATGACTCACTGCTTCCCTTACCTCTGGCCTCTGCTTAAATATCACCACTTAACGAGGCCTTCCCTGACCACCCAGTTTAAAATAGCAAGCCCTGTCACTGTGTCCCCTTTCCCTGATGGACTTTTCTCCATCACCCTGATCACCACCTGCCATATTGTATGTGTATTTGCTTATTGTCTCGCTGGTCCCACTAGAATATCAGCTCCATGAAAGCATAGATTTTGTTTTGGTTCACTTCTGCGTCTCTGGTACCTAAACAGTGCTTGCGCACTTAGCAGATGCTCACTAAATGTTCGTAGGATGAATGCAAGAATATTATCAGTATCCTTCTCTGAGCCTCAGTTTCCCCACCCGGAAAACAAGACTAGCCCCACTAGGAGGAATCATAACAAGCAAATCCTGCTTGGCAAATCTGGATTCAAGAGAAGCCCCCTTAAGTCCTCCCTCTTTTAGTTAGCTTGCTGCTGCTAGGCAACTCTTGTATACAAAGTCTGGGGCTGTAACTATTACTCCTGTAACATCATTATCTATCTTCTAAAATGTGACATCCATCATTAGAGGCAAGATTTTAGGTGATGCACAAACAGATTAAATGGTAATGGTTTTGTGTTTATTCTATTTCTGGCAAGCGATGCTGACTTCCCTGGTGGTGAAGTGACATTTTCTTTTAAAAGACATTTGTTTTATTATTTTTAATAAGCCAACTTAAAGAAAAAAATTAGGTAAATAGCGGAATAGGTGATATAAAGATCAACCAGGTCGTGAGGAGATGACTGAGGTTTGGGAAATGGTGTCACAGCTAAGAATAGCAACTTCTGTTTACTGGACATTTATTCTATGCCCGTGACATTGGCTTTACATGTAGGCAGCTTATGGTGAATATTTCCATTTGAGGAAACTGAGGCTGTAAGAGGTGAAGTCACTTGCTCAGGGTCACGCAGCTAAAAAGTAGTGAAGTTGATTCAAATCAAGGCCTACGAGTCTTTAGACTCCAATTGCCTGCCTCCTCCTCCTCCAGCTTACAGTTTTAGAACCTGAAGCCCAAAGAGGTCATGAGGGCCTGTGCTTACTCCCAAGGCAGCTGGAATGGAAAGAAGTGGGTGAGTGAGAAGATAGACATGGTTAGATATAAGGGGGTGCAGGAGGAGTCCAGGGCCATACCTGGGTCTCTGGCCGGGTGACGACGTGGGCAGAGAGGACATCCCTGAGTTGGAAATCAGGTAGGACAAGGAAGAGGTTTGAGTGAGTTTGTCGGGGGAGTAGTCCAGAAGACAGCTGGATACACCGGTCTGGGACTCAGGTGTGATGGAGGGACAGCAGGCAGAGTGTGGGGATCGACTAGTGATGTCTGTCTTGAGCACAGGCATGGAAAGTGGCTGTGAAGGCTTGGCTAGCCCTGGGAGTGGCCATCTCTCAGGTAGTAGAGGGTAAGTTTACTCCCTGAGTATCACTCAGCTGCTTTTCAGTGCGGGAAAGTGAAAGTTGGAGGGGGCTGGAAGCACAGGAGGCCTTGGGTTTTCCACAGAAGTCTTTATTACAGTGTAAATCCAAGCTCAGGCCTCCCCTGGGCCCCATGCAAAGCCCCGGCGTTGGGGCTACTGGCGTCCAGGAGACACCAGCCCCTCACGGCGCCTCCAGCGGCGGGGTCACGGAAGTGTAGGGCGGGTGCCCTATTTAGGCAACTACAAGTCCCAGCAGGCCCCGCGGCCAAGGTGCCTCGCCTTTCCCGGGCTCCTAGAGCAGAGCCTCTTGGGAAATGTAGTCCTGGCCGCTCAGGCAATTTGCGCAAACTCCCAGGTGTGAGTGATCCTGACATCCACCAGGAAACCGCTCCGGCTGAGGCGGGGAGAGGGTGGGGATGGAAGGGAGATGGAGAGGGGCAGAGGGGTACAGAGGGTGGGGGCAGGCGTCCCGCGGGCAGAGACACCGCTTTCATTCGGCTTTGGCTTTGGATCCGGAGACTGCGGCTGCTGCCGAGGCAAGGGCTCCGGTCCCTGGGATCTTAGCTCGGATCCTGAGGAAGAAACAGGTGGAGTCAAAGGGTGGGGCAAGAAATAGGGTAAGTCTGTGAGAACTAAGGGGGAAACGGGATGGAGGAACTGAGTGCCCAAGCCAGCTCCTGCTCTCCACCTACTGGCCTGAGATGGAATTGTCTCTCACCCTTTAAGAAGGAGGCATTCAGCCCCAGGAGGTTTAGGGACAGGAAATATTGGGGGTCGGAGAGCATTCCCAAGATTCCCCCATTCCATTCCCCATCCCATCCATCACCACCACCTCCACCACATGCCCTTACTTAGCTTTGATGTGGCTCAACTGATTGGTCACCAATCCCACATACTGGTCAATCTGGGCCTGGGGAGACCAAGAAGGGGTGAAGGGAGAGATTGGAGGGGGTTCTTCTTCCTAACTCATTCAGGAGGCTTTTTCCTTCCCCATCCTCAAATCAGGAGTTGAGGGAGTGGCCCAACACACAGTCTTCAACTCTAAACCTAATAAAATACCCTTGGAAGTCAGAAGTTCAAGTTGAAGTCAGAAGTTCATTTGACCACACTCTGTGTGGGAAGCAATGTCAGGTAGAGACACAGGAATTTGCAACTGAGTTTGTGTCCTGGACATTATTGTTACTTTTTGAGTGAGTTGCCTGTGTGTGTATTTAGAGGACATTGGTATTGAGTCCCTGGGTGGATTGAATTTAAATACTAGTTTAATTCACAGTGTTAGTTGACTCTGTGAGTCTCGGTGATTCTGGCATGTGAGGGAGTTAGTTAAGACTATCTCTTTGGCAGAGACGTGTAACATTTGGCTCTCAGCTGTGCTGGAGAATGTGGAATCCCAGTCCATCTGCCTGTCTCTGGATAGGATATATGTCAGTTGGCCCTGGTTCTGCCAGTTTTCTGGGTAACAGACAGCCCACCTGATTTAACTGAAATGTCAGTCCCTTGCAGTTTCAGGGAGTGAGGGCATCAGTCAGTCCACCTGATTGGCTGGGATGGGTGTCAGTCAGACCCAGACTATGTGTAGGGATAGATGGCATCAGTCTGTCTGTCTGTCTGCAAATGGAATATGTGTTTTTCAGTCTCCAGGGGTATCAGGGTATCAGGAGAAGGCATTCATCTGTCTGCCTGTTTCTGGCTAGGATGAGTGTTATTCAGCCTCACACTGTGTCAGGGAGAGAAGACACCAGTCAGGCTGCGTCTAGAACATGTCAAGTTGGACCTTGGGTCACTGTCAGGGAGGAGTATCAGATAGACCACCTGCCTTGTGCTGGGACATGTCAATCAGATCCTGGCTCTGCCACAGGACACCAGTCGAAATGCCTGTCTCTGGCTGTTGAAATATCTTATTTTGACTCCAGTTGTATCGAGGAGGGGCAGCAGGCAGACCACCTGTGCCCAGCTGGGGCATGTGTCCATCAGACCCTGACTCTGTCACGGAGAGGGCACATTGTCTTGTCCTCCTGTCTCTGGCTGATACATCTGTCATGGGATCCTGGCTATAGCGAGGGGCAGTCAGACCACTCAAGTTTGGCTAGGATGCTACCAGCTGAGGGCCTTTCACACTCACCTGGTGCTGTCGGTACAGCAGAGGAACTGTGAATAAGCCAATCACTCCTGTGGGCACAGTAATAGGGATCAGGGTTCTCCCAGGAGTTTAATAGCTCCATCCAGAGCCCTGTCCCCCACCAACCCCTCAGTGACCCACATACCCACCCCACCCGCCACAGCCTTCCCAGCTCACCCAGAATGAGGAGAGTCAAACCATTGAAGACGGCACCCACGAAGGTCAAGATGTAGAAGAGAAGGGCCAGCTGAGGGTGAGGGGCAGGGTCAGCAGAGCTGACGGGGTGCTCCCCAGGCTGGGAACTTCCCCAGCAATGGCCCTCCTACCCACCAGGAGCAGGGACAAGAATATTGGGAACCCAGGAGGGAGCAGGGGCTTCCAGGCACCTTGAGGGAGTCCACGAGGTCTTCTACCAGGAAGAAATGCCGCAGCTGCGTGGCCGCAGAGACCACGTGGGAGGCCATCTGCTGGGACAAACGTTCTGTCTGCTCCCGAGTCAGGGTCAGATCCACATCCAGGTAGGCCCTGAGATAACCAGGGTGTGGGAGGTGACTCAGCAGGTGGCAGGGACAAGGGCAAGAAATGAGGGTTGGGAAGAAGGCCAGGCCTAGATAGAGGTGGGGGTCAAGAGACAGGATCAAGGATTAAGGGTCAGAGGTTAGGGCTGGAAGTCAAGGATCATGTGGGAGATAGAAGCGGGGATGGGATGCGTCAGGGCCAGGGTGAGAAGTCAGAGCCTGATTTGAGGTCATGGGTCCTGACTTAGGTCCAGTGCTAGGGTCTGGGCCAGGGGTTCTCACTGGAAAGGGTTGGCGCCGTCCCCCCGGTGCACGGCCTGCAGCACTTTTCGGTAAACCCTGAGAGAGATGGTGCTGCAGAGCAGCAACAGGGCCACGTGGGCGGCCACGGACACGATGCTAAAATGCAGGAGGCAGAGCAGGGAGACCATGAGGCCCGTGAAGACCACTCCCGACGTCCTCGTGTCCTTCCAGTACAGCAGGTCCGCCACTGTGGAGGGAGGGGGTGGCGATCAGGCTGGGGTTTGGAGCTGGTCTGGCTGACCTCTTGACCTCCTATTTCCTGTCTCAGGGCTAAACCATGACCTCTTGACGCACCTGTCTGAGCCTTAATCCAATTACCCGATTTTTATTTGTCATCTTTTATTCTATTCTTGCCTCCTCTCTTCTCCTCCTGAAAAACCCAAGTTAACTGTCTAGTAAGTCCCCTTAAGCTTATTTCTGCCCATAGATTATGGGCGGACACAATTTGGGGGTTAAGATGGTACCATATATATACTCTTCTACATCCTGCATATCTCACTCTACTTTTCCTCCTAGAATTCCCTCTTAGTCAACTGGAATAGCTTTTTTTCCTGTTCTATTCTTTGTATATAATTGAAGTATAATTGGTTTACAATGTTGTGTTAGTTTCTGATGGACAGCATAGTGATTTAATTATATATATACATTCCTTTTCAAATCCTTTTTCATTGTAAGTTATTATAAGATATTGAATGTAGTTCCCTGTGCCATACAGTAGGGCCTTGTTGTTTATCTATTTTATATGGACTAGCTTTTAATTCATTCTTTTTAAAGGCTACATACTATTCCGTGGTGTGACTTCACCATCATTCATTTTATTGAACCACGTATCTATTGCTGGGTCATTTACTTTGTTTCCTCCCCCATCCCCTTCCCCAGCAGTACTGCAAATACCAGCCTCCTACAGATATTCTTACCTCCAAGAGGTTCTATTTCTGAGACAGAATCCAAAGGGTGGAATCATCACTGGGTGGATTAATTATGTATTTTCAAATGTCATAAATATTACCAGATCGCTTACTAGAAAGACTCTAACAATCCTTATTTTCATGAGTAACATGAAAGTGATCTTTTCCCAGCATCCTGCCCAGCAATGGGTGTTATTGTTCTGTTTATTTTTTGCACCCTGACCAGTGTAGTTAGCTCCTTGATACTCCTGCCAACACATTTATCTAAGTCTAAAATATGTTAATAACACTATCCTCCTTCCTAGGCCTTAACTCAAATTTTTGATATCTTTCTGAGACTCATCTCCCTTTTTTTTCTTTTTGTATTCATGCACATTTTAAATTAAATTCTCCCAAGCCCAGCCTAAACCCTGACCAGTGACCTCCAGACCCCAAAGTTTTTCATCTCACTCATCTAAACTTTGAACAGCCCTCCCTGTAATCCACTCCCCTTTGAGACCTGAACTGAGAGCCCAGTACTCTTCCTTCTACTTCCAGTCTCCATCCTCCAACCCTTACTCCAATCAAACTGATCCATCCCAGCCAGTCCCCCTTAGAGTCTGACTCCCTTCACTTTTGTATCCTCCCTATCACATCCTCCCACCTGCTTCTAACTAGGGCAGACCTCCCCCCAAACCCCTTCCCTACAGGCTCCCCTACAACACCAGAGCCAGTGAATGGGGGAGGGACGGGGTCGCCTGAGGCGGGGGCTAAGTTTAGGCAGCTGGGGGGAGGGAGCCTCACCCGCAGCTGTGCTGGCCCGTCTAGCTCCTGAGTGACAGCGCCGCCTGGGCCTGAGGCTGGGGGAAGGGGCCTCCCCGCTCTTCGGTCCCAAAGCTCCAGCTCGAGAGGGAGGGGACCCCACACCCTCTCCACGCACTCCTTAGACACCCCTGCAGCCCCTTAGCCCCAGCCTGCAGCTCTGGGGAATTTGGGACCAATAGGAAACATCCCCCAGACTTGAGGGAGATAAGAGCGAATATGGACCCCTTTCCGCGATCCCCCAGCACCCCCGTCCCGGCCCGCCCCGAAGGCCCACCTTTACTCCCCATCTCGGCTCCGAATGAGAGGCTACGGACACCGCTGCTTCTCAGGGATTTTGCCCACTTCAGTGGAACCAGAGGGAGGGAGTAGGGGGGCGGGGCCCCTCTGTACCCAGCCAATAGCTCTCCACAGAGGTGGGAACAATTCCAAAATGGGATGGCTGTCTTTGTAAACAGCCAAAATCAGTGATGTCTACAACTAACCCACAGGAACCGTTTGTGGAGGCTGAGCATACTTTAAAATAAGGCGGGGTCTATTTACAACTGGCCAATGCATGTGGTCAGGAAAGAGGAGAGTTTTTAAAAGGTGTAGAGTTTACTTTTAAATGCCCCATGGCTACATTCAGAAGAGAGCCTTTTTTCTCCTCCCCCAGGGATTTGGCCTCTCCAAAAATCAGCCTCTAGGGGGAGCACTCCAAAAGAGGGATTTTTTTTTTTCAGCAATCAGCCAATGCTAATGATCCAAGGAGGGCTAACTTCTCAAATGGGCGGGGGAACTGTATAAAAAGAGCCAATGGTAATCTTAGGTAACAGGAAAAAAATTTAAGGGCAGAGTTTATGATGTCTTGCCAATAGCAATACCTCCTCCCTTCTCCACTCTCCTCCGTTCCTTCGCGAGGCTGGTTCCTTAAAAATTCCAATCCTCCACCCTCGCTGTAGTCCAAAGGAGCACTGTCCCTGACGCAGTTTACCTAGAAGGTATGGTTCCAATGTGAATTCTGATTGGTCCGTGCTATGGAGGCACTGCCCCGTGATTGGCTCCCGCTCCAGCTGCCCCCACAGCTCTTCCTCCTTCTCGACCAGCGAGGACTCATCCGGCCAAGAGTTTGAATCCCGGGATCGGGGAGGGGATGGAGTGCGGGCCTGAGGGGTCCCAGAGCCAGGGCTGGGCTGCGGAGTCAAGACTTCGGGCGGTGAAGACTGAGCGAGTCCAATTTGTAGGTCCAGTTCTGGTGCGTTAGAGAGAGAAGGCTGTAAGCTTTCACCTTGGAGGTGCCCGAATGAGAGACCACCCACCCCTTGTGGCTTTGGTTCCAGCACCTGGGACATCTCACCTTTCCTAGCCTCTCCAGCCTCCGATCCATCCGGCTCCTCGTCTTCTAGTGGGGTGGAGCTACTTGTGGCAGAGTCCTCCCCGGACCCTGCTCCCCGGGCCGCCCAGCCCAGCTGGTCCAGCTTGAGCCCCAGGTCCTCCAGGGGACGCTCCGCCGGAGGGGCAGAATTGGGGTCACCACGGCGCCCAGGCTCCGGGGATTGGCTCAGGCTGGGGATGCTCTCCAAGCTATCGCCCAGGCCAGGCTGAGGGGGTGGGTCTCGCGGCTCCGAGACTGAGCGGCCCTGGGGCCGTGGGCGGCGGGCAGCTGAATCCCTGCGGGCCGCAGAGCCCACCACGCCATCAAAGGCGATGTAGGAGAAGGTCAGCTCCCGCGGAGTGCCCCAGTCCTGCGATGTGGTCTCTTCCTCGTCATCCTCTGAGAATTCCCGGGCTGTGTGCAGCTCCCGAAAATCCGAGTCGTCATTCCCTCCTGCCGTGAGCAAAGGAGGGCATGAACTCCTCTGACCAAGACCCTGACCCATTCCCCTTAACCCGTTTACCCAGCTTTGAGCCTCCTCAAGTCCCACTCTCACATCCTCCCTCTCTACTTACCTTCTGTAGAGTCAGGGGTAGAGGACGCTGTAGATGGAGCTTCTTCTGCGAGAAGGAAAGAATCAAGGACTCTTAGAAGCTTAGACTGCCCGAATTACAGAAGTAGTGTGCCAGTCGTGGAAACTTGTCCGAAATAAGGAATCTTAAAATTTTAATCACAGGACCCTTAGAACATTCTGCATACAGACTGTAAAACTTTAGTATCCTTACTATCAAGAAGCTCAGTCTTAGATTACCCAGTCCGGGAATCTCCATCTTCAAATTAGGGATTTTAGGAGGTTTCAATTAATTAATTCTTTCACCATTAATTGGGTGCTTACTATATGGCAGGCACTGTTTTAGAACCTGAGGATACAACTGTGAATAAAACAGACAAAATCCCTACTCCCATAGAGCTTATACTCTATAGGAAAGACAGACAATAAACAACCAACTTATGGTACTGGGTGCTAAGCATGGGGAGAAAAAATCAAGACAAGGGAGGAGAAAGTAAGGGGGTGCCATTTCAGTCAGGTTGGTGAGGAAGTCTTCTCTGATAACATTTGAGCAGAAACCTGAATCATGTGGGGAAGCCACAGGATGTCAAGAGAACTGCCTTCCAGGCAGAAGGAAAAGCTACTGCAAGCACTATGTTTTGCATATTTGAGGAACAGAGAAGTGTGCAGGTGTGAGTGAAGCATAGTGACTGAGGGAGAGAGGGATGGGACATGAGGACAGAGAAGTAAGGCCAGGGTGGCAGAGGCAGGTAGGGAGATCAAGTAGGGCCTTCCTTTGTAAGCCCAGGTAAGGAAAATATCTTAGAATGTTGGGATGATACTCTAAAATGTTGAAGTAAAAAATTCTCAGGATTTTGGCATCTGGACTCCCAAGACATGCAAGTGGCCAAGTCAGCGTTGAAATCCCCAGCTGTGAGGGTGTGAGACAGAGAATGTTAGACAAGGACTGTTATAGCCCTGGGCTCGGAGATCATGAGGATCAGATAAGACATTTTCATTTGTGGAATCCAGCCCCTTGGAGCTAGCTTTGCCTACAGGAGATGCTCAATACCACTTGGAAAGTGAAATCAGATGTCCCCCACCCCCACTTCGTTTCTTCAGCTGGGAAATAGGAGGCCAGGAATCAGAGGCAGGGAGCGGAGTGGGTCTCCTCCTAGGTAAAGCCACTGGTAATCAATGGTATTAAAGCCTGCTAAGGACCCAGGTGTCCTAGCCCTAAACCAAGGATGGCTGTTTCCCGGGGACAGAGCATTGGGCAATTTGGGCGAGGTCGGAGCTTCCTCTGAATGTGGGCAGAAAACGGAGGTGGGATGCAAAGATGGGTGATGTGGGAGTGGGGGATTCAGATCCCTCTTCTCCATCCTGGCTCTACCCCTCCATTCAAATCCCCTCCCCGCCGGCGGCGGCCAGCACCAGGGCGAGGGGACAGCTCCCGGCGAACATTCTCAACCCCCGGCGGAGCCCTGCGGCGCATCCCAGCGCCCAGCGCGCCCACCGCCGCTATCTCCGTGCCCCCCACTTCTGCCCTGTCTCATTCAGGTTCTCCTGGTCAAGTGGCCCCCATCGCCTCTAGAACACGGAGGGAAGGGAGAGCTTCCTTTGTCTCCTTCGCCTCCTCCCCCATCTCTTCTCTCCCCCGGCCTGAGGCTGAGGAGA